TTTCCTTGTGTTTTTTTGTTGTCTTTTGCGGGGTTTTTTTTTTTTTTATTTTTTTTGTGTCCTGCTTATCCTCGGGGGCCCCGGGGGCTTTTTTGGGGGCAAGGAAAAGTTTTAACGGGCGGAATCGTTTTTTTTTTTTTTTCGCGTCATATTTTTCGGGCCGTTTTGAATATCCCCCCCCCCCCCCCCCACCCATCTGCCCCTGGGTTCCCAAGGATGGTCACTCGTGAGCCAGTCCACAGGTTGTTACACCGCGTATGAGCCGATAATTCCATCTCGTTGACGTTCAGTCTTTTAAAAGTTGGCCAATTAAGCTGGAACTGAAGAGAAAAGATCCTTGTACATGTAAGTTCAGACAGAGACAGTAAAATTATTTTATTACCTTGTAGTTTACGTTATCAAGAGAACTTAAAATTTTTGTCATTTCGTGTCGCAGTTGTACATAAACGGCAAATCATTTGACAGTAAAGCATGAGCAAAGTCGTTGTACGTTTTTGGCATAATCTGACATAACAATGACCTTAAGGGTGGCATGAAATATATACCTGATTCAATAATATAAACGTGAATGCTTAGGGCATTGGGTAGCCCTGGAAAGCTATTGCTTGAAGGTCACTCAAGAAAATCATTACAATGAGTTCCGTAAATCCTAAACGCCCAATTTGCAACTACCAATGACCGCTAAAGCAACCTTTATTGAATAGACCTTTCTCGCATTCCTGTAAACAAAGGCACCACCAACTCGAGGCAACCTCGTCCCCAGGGCTTTTCCCTCAAAAGGGAAAAGCCCTAGGGACGAGGTTGCAACTCGAAGGTCGGGTGGACAAAATACAGTTATTTGTATGAAATTGTCCACCCGAGCCTCGTCCTCGTTTCTTTATGTTTGCTCACTGTAGAGTAACGCGGAAAAGGTCTATCAGGTGTATACATGCGCATTGTGCTTATGACTTATGGTGAGTTTCGTAGGAACTAGACAGTAAGAAAAGCAAACCTGACGAAAGATTTTTCGAAATGGAGGGAAATAAGCTTAATCCTAATTCAGATTTCTGGAAACGTAGCTCCGGTAAGTTTGCTATTCAGTGCTTTAAAACTTTGTACACAAAAGCAGTGCATTCTGTGGGCAGATCATCTCGCTCATAGTAAGGAACCTTTTTTTCTTTGACTAGTTTCCAGTGCCCCGCTGCCTCTAGCTCCATCATCTTGCCGTAATATTCTTTCAGCTCATCGTTACGAACTGCACAACAAATAAGACCCCTTGCGGGACATTAAAAATACAAGAGTAAAGATTCAAAGGATGATTACACAATGAAGCTAAATTGATAATAAATTGATAATAATCGACGCTATGAAAAAATAATTCTATTAAATCAAGTAAAATACTTCTACTGTTTAAAGCAGAAAGAAACAGGAGCCCATAAGCATAAAGAGAGCATTGACCAGCTCAGTTGGTGGCTTGGACGCCAACCGTCCTGTCTCCATTAGGAGACGTAGAAATAATGTCCTCAATTTTTTAGCACTTTTAAGCTCAAGACATTGGCACTGTCAAAAAAGTGCGTTTCTTTTTCAGGAACGTGCCAGTAGTTTAAAACTAGAGGTAATCATTGATTACGGATCCGCGTTCGTCACTTACGAAAACGAAATCGAGTCGAAAGGAGTTCAGTTTCTCGGTCGAGATGCCCTTGATAAGATTAATAGGGTCGGCTAATTTGTAGTAGCCCGTGATAGCTCAAAAATTTCTGCCTTTGTGCTACAGGAACAACAGATTGGGATGCGTCCTGACAAACGCGAAAACAAAAGCAAAAACAAAAAACAAACAAACCAAAGCACCCCCTCCCCCCGATACACAAGCACTTGGTAAAGGTCAGGTCAATTTTATCGGAAGCTGTATCCATTTCAGTTTAGCATTGTTCACCGAAATCAGATGACAAAAATTTTTGTAGTATTCCTCATAATCATAGTAAGCAAATGAGGCCAGCACATGGAAAAGTAGGTGTGTGAAGGATTCTTTAGACCCATATTTTGACTAACAGAACCGGTTTTAAACTACAAAATTCATTGCGGCATTTAGTGGTCATCACCACCTACAACTTTTAAATTGTCACGGAGTGTTATGGAGCGGTTAAACGCTTGAACGCTTCTTTCTGACACAACGAGTTGGAATACCTTAGTTTTCCTGTAGTACAAAAATTGCCGAGTCAAAGCCCTGAAAGAGAGAAGCTATTAACTTCCGATCACTATTTTTTATGTCCGGGACTTCACCGTCCGAGTTGCTTATTAATAAGCAAAGACGTTTTTATCGTTTTTGCGCGACGCAAATCAACCGGAAGTCGATAATTTGCATTCTTGGACAGTGTTTTTGCCCTAATCTTTGGGCAAATCATCTTTTATAACAGTAAAGACACTTAGCAATACAAATGTAGTGGCATCAAGGAATATTAAAAGGGAAAAAGCGTCACTTCCGTTTGATGTGCGCGGCCCAAAGACGCCTTAATCACTTGTATAAAAAAACCCACCTGCTTTCACCATCCTTATCAACTCCATAATAGCCACGGGAGGGACATGCGCAATAGCGAACACTCCAACACAGATCAAAACGTCATATTCTCCCGTTTCTATCTCAAGAATCCGCTGGTCACCCAATGCGGCGCAAATGAATTTCCTGTATACGTTCTTCTTCTTTGCTTCTTCTAACATTCCTGGTGAAATGTCAAGAGCGTCAATCGTAGTAAAGCCAAATTTATGAAGTTCAACGCCAACCAGACCTGTTCCAGCTCCTGCGTCCATCACCTTAATATTTTCTTTTGTTAAGTCCTTTAGTTCTTCTTGGACCGCATCATCAAGCGTTTTCACAATTGGACTGAAACCCTTAAAGCGAGCTACTTCCAGAATATCCTGTAAAACACGATCGACATCAACAGTTATAAGTATGAGATTGCTCAAACTCCAACCTCTTACCCAATTTAAGTATAACAGTTAGAAAAACAGAAAAGGTACCTGTCTTGTATGAATTCCATTGACAATGGTACCCCTTTGGCATACCTAGTTTGGAACTTTGCATCCCTTTTAACAGCTGTAAATGTAATGTCCTTTAAATATGAATATATCACAAAACCAGAACTTTTTAACAGCCAAAAAATGCATCTGTTAGCCTTTTGGGCGTCTTTACAGACCAAAATGCCAAATTTCCCTACCCTTTCAAATAATTCTGACTAGTACAAGCCCTATCCTTTATACCTGGAGCCGGAAAAAGGCATTATATAAGGTACCTCCCGGGAACACAACCACAAAGATTTTCAAACTTTTCTGAATAAACTGTTGCTTAAACAAACAGAAGTACCTCATCATACTTTGTTGCCCAATCATCATAGAGTTTTCTAACTTCATCTACCGTTGTTTCATCTGTTAGGTGCTCTAGTCTGTTGGAAAATACTGCATTGTAACCTGCCTTAAACGAGGTTGCTGCCATCTAAAAAGAAAAAATAATAACAAATAAAGTGGAACCTCGCCTTACAGCCACCTCGGTAATATGGTCACCTCGTTATTACGAGCTTACATTTTCTTGTAAAGAACCCTCATTAACGCAGTCACCATTAGTAGGGCCAAATTTTTTGGTCCATTGCATTGGTGACCATATTAAGGGGGTTCCACTGAAGCAAAAAAAAAAAAATATATATATATAGACTTCTCAGCAGGACTGAAATCTTCGAGGATGGACAGCACCTTATCTTCCCTCCTCTCCTTCTGGTGACATTAGAAAGTTAAAAGGCGACGGCAATGAGAAAGTAAAAAATGCAAAAGAGGCTGACCCATTTGCTCCTGGAAAGTTTGCCAAAAAATGCCATTTTGAGACCAGTTGAGCCTCGAACCCAAACCACCCAAAACATTGTTTTTAGGTTAGGCACTTGGTTGCCCTCTTTTCCAGATGCTAAATAAAGGCTCACCTGAAGTTCAGACATGTGCAAAAAGCAAAATGTATGCATAAACACACCACATTATTAAACCATTGGGATGAGATTATTTAAGACAATAATTATGGCCTCCTATGCAGCCATTTTTAGAGTCGTCACACAATGCTCCTCCCCACAGCAGCATTGCATGACAACCCAAAGAAAAACTGCAAAGGAGACAAGAGGTGCTTTCCATTATGCCAAATTTTCCAGAAATTTTGGTCCAAACTTAAATGGAACGGTTTGGCCCAGGTGGAAATTTTTCCCAGTCAAAGTGGTCCACCTTCTTTGACTGGCCAAAAAATAGAGCAAAACCACATCACCGCAAACCGTTACGCTCGCCTCAGTCTTGTGCATGTGAAAGAGAGTTGCTCACTTTAGGAAGTTCCATTCTTAATCTCTCCCCTAAACCTTATGTGAAGGGAGCACACTCCTATGTGACCACCTGGCCTTTTGTTGGAAAATCTTTTCACAAATCTTTTCTGCCTGCCTTGATATGTTTGGTAGCCTGGGATCAGGCTCTGAGGACCTTTCCCAATCTCGCGTCCACCACTTAGTTCACTCTGCTTGATGATTTATTTTATTTTGTTTTTCCCATTTCTTGCCTTTTTCCCCTACTACAGAGCCTGGTCCCAGCCTAGACTCTTTTGAAAACAGAGTCCTACCAGTCATCTGCCCAGGACCCTCATCCATTAAGAAAAGATGGGTGGTGGGGTGGGGGTGTCGGATCCCTTTATCCATGTAGTTTTTGTGGCATGACTACACCGATTTTGAAAACTTTGCTGAAATGTGAAGGTCTTGCAAGCAATTTTTCGGTGTATTTGTTTGTTGCTTTTGGAAAAAAAATATCTGAGTTTCAAATGTTAACTCTGCAGGGCTCGGTGGCTCCTGGAGCCTAACAATTGCTCTTGGGTGACTAGAAAATGTTAGTTTTTTCATACAAATCATATGCTGGGCACCCTAGGCCCAATACCTCAAAAAATGGTTAAGTTTAACTCAGGATTAAGCCAAATTTTAAGCAAGGGTTTCTTGTCTAAGAACATGTAACTCGAGCTTACAAAATACTGTTGTGCCTTCACTTCAAAAAGGAAATTACAACTTAAAATGTTACTCTAGGCGGCTTAACTGCAGAATACCTTGCGACTTTAAAGCAACCCCCAAAAATAGGTGGATACGTGGATACTCAGTCACTTCGTATCTGCGTATCCACTTTGTCACTACGTATCTGTGTATCCATTCAAAAAATATCTTTTAAATGATAGTCACTGCGTATCTGCGGATCCACTTCGATACACACTTAAGACAGCATAAAAAGCATATAGCATGACTATTTGTTGTTCTTAAATAGAAAAGCCCATAAAAGGGATAACTGCATATCCACGTATCCGGCTCTTTCAGGGATACAGCTTTGAAGTGGCAGGGTATTCTGCAGTTACCTCTAGGCAATGCATAGGAAGATATATAAATACAAAAAGTGGACCAAATTTTAATCCTGGATTAGCGCTAATTGGACTTTCAGGAACCAGGCCCTGGATTTTACAGGTTCATAGCACAGGGCTCCCTTCAATTTTCCTTGGTCTGTATATAAGCTAGCCCGCGCTTTTCGCTACTAGTGGGCTATAACCAGGCCATCTGATATTACGCGATGGTGTGATTTTGCACAATTGACCTCAAATCGCATCCGATTGCACAATTTGAGGAAAATCGCATAAATCGTAAAAAAATGCTAAATTCAAGTAAAGTAAACAAATTATGAATTCTAACTTTAATTAAACATTTTCCCAATCTTAATGTTATTTAAGGTGATTTACCAATAAAGAAAGCCTTGCAAGACATCTGAAACTTTGATTTCAGAGACAAGCAGCTTGGTCAGCGGTGCAAGGGCGTCATGTCATATTAAGCAAGTGTCCTTTTTCTTTCAGGGTCAAATTTAACTATTTTGGTTTAAAATAGATGTTTTACAAATTCCCCGTTAAACAACATTAAAGTGGTTTTTCTCCTTTGGAACCTGGTAAAACAATGTAAATTAGCCCTGAAAAAATTGCATAGTTTATCGCATAATAGTCCTATCTTATCGCACAATCTACCCCGAAAATATTGCACAATTTCTGATTTTTTATCGCACCCTATCAGATGGCCTGTATAACATATAGCCTAGTAGTAGCTCAACCAATCAAAACGCAGCATTGATAATAGACCACTAGTTGGATTTTACTAATTAACAATATTATTCCTCGAGCCCGAATGGGCTCTTGTCTCAGAGCCCATTCGGGCTCGAGGAATAATATTGCTCCTCATCCGTGATAGCGATGGTCAGCGTGGTCCCTGTTCCGGTCGATAAAATCCATACATTATTCAGCAGTCATCCCAAACTATTCTTTCAGACAAATGCTAAGCATTTACCAGCTCTGAAAGACTTACCTTGCGATGAGACTCCAACTGGCGTACAACGATCGAACTTCCAGACGCGTGCGCCGAGAATGCTGGGATTTGTTTTTAAAATTACAAATCAATTGGAACGGACTTCAAGTTCAATTGCTGAGGATTTGCTTTCAAATTCCCCATTAGGCAACATGTCTTGCTGATACCATTCATACTTGGCTCTGAGGTTAGGAGGAATAAAACAAAATCAAATTTATTATATATTCATTGCTAAACCTCAAGGTGATTTCTTTTGTTTTATTCCCTGAGCCTTGGTACCGAGTCGGAAATTCAATTTATCGAAATTGGTCTACTGATTAAATTTCTTTTACCCTCTTGAGGATTGAAAACAATACTCATGTTAAATTTTGTGAGGAAAACAAAGAGCATTATTGGGAATGCAAAAGTCAAGTGTGAATCTATGCGCATAACTCATACACGCAATAAGTCTATTACGCAATATATGTCAGCTGGTTAGATAAGCCTTTGAAAGACGTAAAGAATGTAATAACGCAGCAAGCAAGCGGTTACTGAACAGACATTTTAATCTCTATCAAATGCCCCGAAGGTACAAACGAAACTGAATATATAATGAGTCTAGCAGCACGTAAGTAAGCACATAGTCCTGTAGACGCTTGGGCGGTTGACGGACGCGCGTGGACCTTCTCGGTGCCTGTAAAGGATTGGGCGACTTAGGTGCGTCCGGCACTGAAGACAACGGATCGCGCGGCTGGTCGAATGTTTCCACGCGTGTATCTGGAGGTGCCTGTTCGCGTGTATCTTCGCGTGTCTCTGTGGATGACTGCTCGTGCGCCTCTATGACGTCGTCATCTTCAACTTTGATAGGAGCTTCATTGGACTTGCGTAGCTCAACACGATTTCGTCGAAGGAGTACTTGAGGCAGCTCAACCTCTTAAGATCTTTTGTCAATGCGACTCTTTACGACACCCTTTTTCCACTCTTTTCTTCCCGCGCGCCAGGGCTGAACTCGCACGGTATCTCCGGGATCTAAGGGCTGGAGGTCTAGTGCGCCTCTGTTGTAGTACTTGGCTTGTTACTGTTGGCGGCGATGAAGCTTGGTATGTGTCGCGTCCTCGTCTGAAACAGATGGCTTTAATAATGCAGCAGTCATCGGGAGGAGACTTCTTGTCCTTCTGCTAAATAGCCGCTGTGCTGGGCTGATTTGCATACTCGCAGGTGGTGTGTTTCTGTGGTCCAGTAAAGCAAGAAACGCGTCTGAACCAGTCTTGCTGCTCTTTAACAGAATTTTCTTCGCTTGCTTAACGGCCCTCTCAGCCTTTCCATTCGACTGACTATGATACGGACTGCTGGTTCTGTGCTCAAAATCCCACTCTTTAGAGAATTTCAGGAAATCGCGCGAGACGAACTGTGGCCCGTTATCAGTAACGAGTTGCTCGGGAATGCCATGTCTCGCGAAATGACCTTTAAGCTTCTTGATGACGTAGACAGAGGATGTACTTCTCAGATGGTCGAGCTCGAAGAAATCGCTAAAATAGTCCACAGTCACAAGGTAGCTTTTTCCATTTAGCTCAAATAGGTCTGCTGCAACAAACTGCCACGGCCGACTAGGTGCTTCGTGGCTGATGAGTGTTTCCTTCCTTTGACCCTGTTCGTACTCTCTGCAGGCTTCACATGTTGACACATAGTTCTTGATATCTCCTGTCATCCCAGGCCAATAAAGACACTCACGCGCTCGGTTAAGGCAACCATTAACTCCAAGGTGCGAATTGTGAATACTTTTTAGGAGACCACTCCTAGCAGCCTTGGGTACCACTACCCTTTCTCCATTAAAAATCAGACCATCCTGAACGGACAGCTCATCTCTCATATCGAAGTAAGGAGAGCCCAGAAGCGGCAGGGTACTCTTATTTTCAGGCCAGCCTTGCTGAATCACTGCCTTTAGAACTTGAAGCGATTCATCCTGCTCTGTCTCCCACTGAATTTGCAGTAGCTTGGCTTCAGATATTGGCAAGTAATTCATCATGTTGATTGTCTCAAACTCTGACTCAATCTGCGCACCCGAGGGAAGATAAGCTCTAGAGAGAGTGTCCGCTAAGAACATTCTGCTTCCCTTCTCGTACTGTACCACCAAATCGTACTTTTGCAAACGGATCAACATTCCTAGCCCTTGCAACCTCTTAGGAGCGCGATGAAGTGGTTTCATGAAAATTGACTCAAGTGGCTTATGATCAGTATGGACAACAGTTCTTCTACCGAAGGTAAAGTCATTAAACTTCTCTACTGAAAACACGATTGCTAACATCTCCTTTTCAATCTGCGCATAGCGAGATTCCGTCTCTGTTAAGGCTCTACTAGCGTACGCGATTGGGTGACCATTCTGCATTAAGGCTGCACCTAAACCACTCTGGCTGCTATCACACTGGATCTCAAGCATTTCAGTGGGCTTGTAGTAGGCTAGAACGGATGCTGATGCAATCAATGTCTCGACATCATTCCAAGCCTTCTCTTGCAAATCATCCCAACACCATGCTGCATCTTTATGGGTAAGATCTCGTAGAGGCTTCATCACATCAGATAAGTGAGGTAGGAAACGGCTAAGATAATTGACCATTCCATTCAGGCGTAAAATA